GCTGAACAATAACACAAGCGAAGAGGGCGAGAGAGAGAGAGAGAGAGGGTGACACAAAGCGATCTCTACTTGAAGTTAAGTATCAGGTCTCCTGGTACGAAATGTGTTTGCTCCGCTGAATATCTGAGAGGCATCATCTTTTTTTTTCTTCTGCTTTTGAACGTCAATGCTGAGCATCGCACTTCAGTGCCACTCAGCAGAGCGTCGAAGTTTCTGTTGATCCTCAGAGCTGTGAGGAATTTCAGCTGAGCGCTTCTGTCTAGCCAAACGCCTCGGCTCTCCTTCTTTACCCCTCATTCCAGTCCCTCTCAGTTGACACCCCCAACCTGTCCTCTTTGCCCTCTCAGGCCATCAGAAACCTGACAGCCACGTCAGCTCAGAGGCTGAGCCACAAAGGCAGAGGTACTTAGACTCCTGAAGGGTGATTATGTGGTAAAACCCTCAGCAGTCCCGTGTGAAAGGAGCATTCTTACTCCTTAATTGCATGCAAGGGGGGGGGGGGGCGAGGGGGGGGTTCATTATTGGCAATGATATTAGATAGTTTATTGAGCAAACAGCGAGCTGAAAGCAGCCAACCGGTTCCTTTCAGACTTGTGTTTACTTGAAAGGGCCAGTTTCAGGGGCCAGCCTCTGTGTTTTAAGCCCAGCTTATCTGACAGGCGTTTCTATAGTAGGTAACTGAAGCAAAGTGCTGAAGGAGGGTTCGCAATCAGCTAAGTGTTGCATCAGGATAAATGGAGCCGCTACGTTAGCATCATCCATGACTGTACAAAATAACAGGAAGTCAGATTCTCGCAAATCATCTGAACAAGGATAAAAATGCGTTGGTCCGGCGTCCAAACGCTTCAGATTCCAGTCCGACTGAGGATCTGAGAAGCTGCAGGAACCAGCGCCATCCTGCAGCCTGAACCTCTCACTGCTTTGCCAGAACTATTGTGGCTACAAAATAAGTTAGAAAATGAAGGCTAATTCATGCATACAGTGCTTTTAAAATGAATACTTTGGCTTCTAACAAGATGCATCTTTTCTAATCTGTGAAGGTGATGACTACCTGATAAGTCTGCTGCAATAATCAGCTAATCGCATGATAAATTTAAACGAGCTTGGGGTTTTCCATTCTGATGATTAGTTATTTCTGTAAAGAAATTTTGTTCAGAGACTTCATCATCTATTGTATTTAAGATTTTCCTTCAGTATTTTATTATTTCCTTTTCATTTATTGTTTTAGGTTGTTGTTATGTTTTTTTATGTGGGATATTTAAAATGTCTTTCTGTGTTGAGTGTTCTGTACCAAATTAAAGTTTATAAATCTTTGACAGGCAAAGATTTATAAATCTTTCGCATCATTATGCCATTATCAAAATGGTCTCAAAACGACAATTATCATCAATTATCATTTTTGGAACAATTTACTGTCCAGTAAACTTGTTATTGTAGTTGTGCATGTGTTATTTTCCCATTATTATCTTTATATTAGTCGATAATGGTCTCAAAACGGCAACATTATTGTTTATCGCGATCAGTTCTGGGTCAGTTTATCGTCCAGCAAAATTTGTTACCGTGACAAGCCGACAATTCAGCCTTCATCTCTAAATGAAGGCTGAATTGTCTGAGACTCGATCAGGGACGTATAAATGGACATCTCTGAGGAGACGTGAGCGGGATCGGTGGAGTGAGTAGGTGAGTGCCCTGCACTCATGTGTTATCCAGATGGCGCTCATAAATTCAGAGCAGAGAGGAAGCCTAACTCCGAAAGCTGCAGGCGACAGAATAATGAGGCTGTTGCTTACTGTAAACTTCAAAAACAGCAACGTGTGGACACAGCATGAGGCAGACATAGGCACGACCGAAGGAAATAAGGGATTTTAAGTAAGAAAGCCAGATTGTTGCAGAGCTCGCATGTGTAGCAGTGAATCTTTCTCTGCTTTGCATGGAGGGTTGCATACACATTTTGAGTTTCCTGTCCATGCACAGATGGACAAAATCCCCGAGTGGATCTGAAATCAGCTGCAGAGACTTTGGTGGATTTTGGTTGCCTGAGGGACGAAGAAGCGGAAGAGGGGAGGCAGTTGTCGGCTACTGCTTTAAGAAGAAGGACCTGGAGAGAAAACAGGAGTCCTTGGGAAAACGTTCACATTTTGTCACATTGCAAATGCAAACTTCAGCAAATGTGACAGACTAACATAAAGTAGAGCACAACTGTGAATCAGGTTGTGAGTAGAACATCAGAAATACAATCTATGAAATAGTATGTTTAACAGACTTTTGATTTGTTTATCAAAAGTTGAGAACAGAAATTGAAATTGTAAAGAAAATGACTCTGTACTGAGTACCGCCAACGTTTTGGTTGTTTACTTGAATATTTGTTTAGAAATGCTTGATGCAGTTTTTTCCAGTAGGCTGGTTGGAGCCTAATGTGATGAGGATGAGGAGTGTCTCTCCTGCCAATGTTTCTCAAAATGCTTTCAATGGGTTTTAGACAATATCAACATGCTAAACAGTCTAGAAGAAGAGTGTTATTCTCCTAACTACAAAAGCATTCAAGGCTTTTATTTTGAAAAAGTTGAAAACTTTGGATAATTTCCTTCTTCCACTTAACAATTATGCACTACTTTGATATTTATATTTATGGTTTTCAAGTGACAAAATGTGGAAATTTCAAGGGGTATGAATTGCAAGCATCATTTAGACTCGCACATCCATAAATAACAGAGCAACCGGAGGCAGTAATGGAAAATCACGCAGTGTACTGACGCCGCGTTTCCCAGAGCAGCTCATAGGAGAAATACACGAAAGAAGCCTGAACTGTCACAGCAACAAAGAAGTGGAGAAATTACTAAATTAGATATGAGTCACAGGTATGAATTAAAAACAAAAACAAAACAAACACTGCATCAATAAAATTGTCTTGCTAATTGATATAAACCATTTCAGCAGACATGTGGCTGCCTTGGACTTAATGTCATCTGGATGTAGGGGGAACAAGTCCTGCCAAACAGAGCCTGTGAAAGTGATGATGTAATGATGATTCCAAAGTCTGAGTCACAACTGAGATGCAGAGGGTGTTTTAATAGACCCTGCCGCACAGATACGCGTTGTACTACAGCATGCATTGTGTTTTCTTTGTCTTTAAAAACGTTACAATGTTTGGTGATCCACACCAGGGGTTTCCAGAAGCAAGTTATTCCAGGATGCCTATTGGCGAAACGTGCAAAAAGAAGTGCCTGCACATCTTCTCATTATTAGAAAGTCAGGTGTTTCCGAATGGACCTGCTCTGTGATTGAAAAAAACAAAAACAAAACAGATATATATATCAGCAGCCAGTAATCAAAGGTGGTTTTTTCCAGCCGCTGTGCTAGTATCCTCCCAGTTTGACTCTGGATTTACATGCTTATTGAGAACTTTGAACCAGCAGTCCTGCAGCACATAAATAACAGGTCACACTGCTGTAAAAGAGCATTCCCAGGATGCAAAAATTATCGTCTTCATTCTTTGCCACATATTTGCGAGCACTTACCCAAACACATAGAATTAGACAGCTTGACCCTGTGGTTTATGGCCTGCAGATGTTTATTTTGGCCTGTGACGTTTTTATATGTTTCACTGAATAAGATTGAAATACCACATGCAAAAAAAAAAAAAAAAAAAATCTGAGTTTTGGGGCAACGATTTGGAAAAATAGATTTTTTGCGTGATGATATTCTTGTGTGTAAAAGGGTATTTATGGCCAAAATGATCGGAGGATTTACCCCAAATAACAGTTTTTGTTAAGAGACTACCCCGCGAAAATCATCACACAATAACCTTTCTCCTAGACTCTGTTCAGCTCTCGCCTCTCTCGCTGCAGGTGCAAGGTCTGTTTTCCTGAGCTGATCAATTACTGAGAGAAGTAACCGAGAAGTAATAACTGAGCTGAGAAAATAACCCACTACTTGGAGGAACCAACTTCCCCGCCTGGATTCACCGACATCCCTGTCCTCACACTGTTCTTGAGCAAATAGCTGTTTATGATAAAAACACTTGGACTATTATTTGCTTAAAGGGTTAAATGTCAAAGTTAAAACCTGAATATGCCTGCATATATTCATTTATAACAGATCCTATAATTCTCATACAGAAAACAGGTGGCAAATCTGAGCAGAGGGTTCTGGCGTTTTGTTGTGTCAGTGTGTTTGTCTGTCTGTCTGTCTGTCTGTCCAACCTAAAAATGGCTGCACAGCTAGGAATATTACAGCTGGAAGTGGAAAAGTCCAAAAACGCCCAAGTGTGTGTTTGTGTTCGCACAGCTGAGCTCTGGATTTTTCCTAATATCCTGTTGACAGTTTTCCTTAAATTACCTTTTAATTTTAACTCGCGGCAGAGCTCTTTTTTTTAGCATCTCCTAAAAACCTTAGGCTGATAAAATGCAGTAGATGGGCTTGTTTGTGAATTTAATTTCTGTCTTGCATAAATGCATCACCTTCCCGCTCACACGCATCCTTGCATACAGTGGGCCTAGTGTCTCCTTTGAGTCAACAGCGTTAACCAAAGTGGAAATCTTTGAAAAGAAACGGAGTCACAAACCACAGTGCTGTCAAACCAGCAGAAGCTCCCATGTTGACTTCATTTCCCCTCCAACACGAGTGCATCTGTGTAAGTCGGTGCTTTGGTTTGAGCAGCTTTTGTGCAAAGTGGCAATGCGTTAGTTCTGCCGCGGCATAGTTAGTGTTTTATTAAGACTGCGTTGGAGTTTTGCAATGACTGTCTTTATCAACGGTTGCAGGATAAGCAGTCACTCTCTAAGGGGGCATTAGAATCTGCAGTGTCATTTCTGACCAGAGCACCAGAGGAAAACCTTGTTTGCCCCGCGGCTCCACAGACCTAGTCCATTCTCCTGCAGTTACTCAGGGCAGTAAATGAGGTTTGCAGCACTGAGGCTGCTTGCTGGGCCCTCACTCTGTTATAAGACTCTGTTATAACGTGCACTGTGTTTTAATGAGCGCATGTTTTCTGTTTACAGGGCAGCGACGGACCATAACGTAGACAACACCACTGCCATGTTGAGAGAATGGCTGAAGAAAGCGCAGCGCATTTATCACTATGTGGAGTGGAGACCGATGGAGGAGCCCAGGTATGTTCACAAGCTGAGATGCACCAAATATACTATTAATAAAAGATTAAAAAAAAAAAAAAAAAAAAAGGTCTACCCCTATGATTTCAGTTTTAAGCTGAAAAATATTGATCGCAAAAAGATGTATATTTCTATATAGAGAGCCTTTTCTCAGTAAATAGAAGCCTGCAGATTATGTCCTGCTTTATGCACAATAATCTGCGTTAAAATACAGTACATACTGTATTACGTGAAGTAACACAGTACTTAAATGGAAAAACTTACCGTCATGAGAAAACTCCTACGTTCCCACAATGTTTAATTTAGAAGTAAATCCATTAATCTGACTTAATGTTTGAGAAGATTTTTCAGACAATTCTTGATTCTGTTCTGTCCTTCTGCATGGCGTATTTCCACTTGACATTAAACTGCACCGTTAAATTTGCATTCACATATTGCCACTGATTAAGATGAAAATCCTGTCAAGTCCGAAAACAGCTCCTCACCTTTACCTGCTTTTAACTACAGTCAGAGAAAAACTGAACAAGTAAATACAAAAAAAAAAATAATAATAATCTGTCCCAAAACCAAATAGGATCCATCACACACAGTGAGCACAGGCTGCAGCTGCTCTTTGAAAAGCCTCTGACACATGACTTTTTGTGTCTTTTTTATTGAGAATTAGTTAGACCCTTGATCTAGAAATCATTTGAATCTCTGTGTCAGATTGTTAAAAGTTAAAAACTGGATGGCATCCAGTCACCAGGTAAACTGGTGCGCTCACTAAAATCTGTGTGAACTGTTAATCTCTTTAAATGTTACACATTTTATTGCGATAATTTCCTTCCTAGTATAACAAAAAAAATCCAGTTGCTCTGATTGACACTTTGCATTTTTGCGTCAGCTCCTACACAGATGAGTGGGGTCCGAAGTACTGGCCCCCTTCCAGATTCAACCATCTGATGAAGCTGAGGCAGGCGGCCCTGAAGGCTGCGCGGGAGCGATGGGCCGACTACATACTGGTAACGCCTACAACACAAATACGCAGCCATGCATCAGGCACTTGACCATTACTAAATAATCCTAGGCTATCAGTATTTCTCTTTTGATTTTATTAGTGAGAAAATGTTTTTTTTCCTATGCTTTTAAGTGATCATAATCCCCATGATCCAAAAGCATGAATGCAATATTGAATCTCACAGTCTTGCAAAAGCTTTCATGCCCCTTCAGAATAATTTATCTAGATTTTATGTGATAGACCAATACAAAGTAGTACAAACATGAATTTGGAAGTGTGCCGTTCTTTTGTTGTGAGCCCTGTTTACTCTGACTGATTTATTTGGCGGCAGTAATTTCCTTCAAAACAAAAAACGATCATAACTCTCAACATGGTGGTGACATTATATTTGGGAAATACGCTTTTCGTGAGCTGATGGTGAGAAGTACGGAGCTAAGTACAGGAAAATCCTGTGAGAAAACTGTTTGGAGACAGAGAAAGGGTTAGATCAAAGCAAATCTATGTTAAGTTGGAATGGTCTAGTCAAAGTCTACTCCTAAATCCAGTAACAAACTGAGAATCAGAGATGATCTCCATCCAATTGGGTGTACCTTGAGTTTATTTGGTGAGAAAAATGCTTAAATGTTCAATCTCTGCATGCTCAAAGCAAGAAAAGGCTTCGCTAAGGCAGCAACAAGTAGCAAAATGTTTAAAACCTTGGATCCCTTTCCTTCCATTTCACATATTGTCCTACTTTGTGTTGAGCCATCACATTAAGTTGCAATAAAACCCTCTGAGGTTTGCGGTTGTAACTTGTCAAAATGTGAACAGGTTAACAGGGCATGGATACTTTAGCTTTGCTCAGTAGACTTAAACAGAATGTGTTATTCTGTTTTGGTCTTCAGTCATTCTGCTGTTTGCACAGTTGATTTGATCACTAAACTAGAAGCACAAACATTGCTCGCATGAAATCACTCCTTCGATCAAAACCCCCTCCGCCCTTCAGTTTGCTGACAGCGACAACCTGCTGACCAACCCTCGAGTGCTGAGCCTGCTGATGGCCGAGAACCTGACGCTGGTCGCTCCCATGATGGAGTCTCGCTCTCTCTACTCCAACTTCTGGTGCGGCGTCACCCCGCAGGTGCGCCTCAGACAGAAGCCAGCATGTTCATCCATTCTCTCAGAGTTACCAGCTGAACACGGTTTTATGGCTCCTCTCTCAGGGTTACTACAAGCGAACCCCGGACTACCAGCCAATCAGGGAGTGGAAGAGGCTCGGCTGTTTCCCTGTTCCCATGGTGCACAGCACCTTCCTTTTGGACCTGCGGCGCGAAGCCAGCCGAGACCTCGCGTTCTACCCACCTCATCCGGACTACAGCTGGGCCTTTGATGACATCATGGTGTTTGCCTTCTCGGCACGTCAAGCAGGTCAGTTTGAAACTCTCACCAAACCACGAGACTTTATGCAAGGAGGCAAACTCCTCTTGAAATGCAGACCATCAATGATTGTCTTAGCTTCTTAGCAGTTAAATGAAACCTAAAACGTTGGTTTTTTTTTCTTTTGCTCTGCCAGGATGCACTAAAAAAAAAAAAAAAAATCTGAAGGAACTTTATTAGTTTTCTGCACGTGTGTGTGTGAATGATGTTTGATTGCTGAGATGAGTCGGCAATGTGCTGCTTTACTGAGCACGTGCAGCTTTGCTGGCTGCACAACTTGTGAGTTTGGGCTCCGAGAGAATCGCCAGTGGGTAACAAACAGGACCATTAAGCTTTCCCGTATGTGCTGAAAAACCAAATAAACACATGAAAGCATTCATGTAAACATTAGCCGATGGAAACATGAACTTCTTCCAACTCATGAACGAACATCGGCAGCACCGACGAGGATAAAAGCGGGTCCAATTAGTCTGCGTTTCAGTCACTCGTTTTTATACCTTCGAAGCTCGTTATTGTCCTGCTGCAAAGATTTACCGTCCAGGTGGACCACCTGTTGTCTTGACCCCTCCGACCTTACTTACCCTGTGGCCACCTTGCACTTTTTCTGGCGGTTTTGAAGTGAAAGTAAACACCTCATGCTTTTGCTTTTATGGTCAAGAGACGGTCTATTCACTTCATTTAAATTGATTTTGTGTTATTTCTTGAGATGCAGCAGGAGGGGGTGCAAAAGCATGAAAAGAATAAATAAATAAAAGCAAATCTTGTATGTTTTATTATGTATTTTGCACATATTTCTAGTTAAATAAATTATGAGCTGATTTTGTTGATTATAGTCATTATTCAGAGTGATGAAAAATAACTACAATTCCCTCAGCTTAATAAAACTAAACTGTTTTTGGTCATTTTAAAAAAATCATATGAAGGTGTTATGTACTACTTAGCGAATATTACACCTTTTTAATGCAGTTTTGTAATGTCTCTTAAAGTTTTTTAAAGACTAGCACAAAAAAACAGTTTGTGCACTGCGGGACTCCGTTCATAAGTCATTATGGCACCATTTGGTGTTGCCGTGACTTCAGTAGAAAATAATTGCTTAAATTACACCCTTGTTCATGTCGCTGTTAAGTCTGCCTCGAAATAAACAACTTCATAACAGACTAACCTGTGTTGTTTTTACTGGGCAGTCTAAAACTGCCCAAACATCTCAAAACATTACAACAATATTTCTGTTGTACAATTTTGCAAATACGTTTCAAAACTTGCAGAAATTTATTCTAACTCACAATGTGAATGACGGCATAAACCAGTAGACTCCAAAGTTATTTGCCATTGGAGCGAAATTGTTCAATTGAAAGTTCTCTTGGGCTGCAAAAAGTCTTCATTTTAACTTTATTTGATTACATGCACAGAAATCTACTAAGCAAGTCATGTATTAATGAAACAAAAGAAGTTGCTAGGTTTTTTTTGTAGAAATGCAAACATTATAGATCAGACTAAAATAACCATCTTGCATGTTTGCCTATTTAAAATGTGTATTATTTTGCTTTTGCCTTGGTCTACAAATGTTTTTTTTTTTTTTTTTATGGGTCACTGTTTCTCTGAAAATGTTTGCTGGTATTTAACCAAGTGTAATGAATGGGTGCACCCAAGTCTACTCTTAAGTAAAAGTCGCTGGATATTTGTGATTCTATTTCACACAAACTTCAGGGCTCAGCCTATCATTTTATATTTTAAGGATATTTCAATGTCGACACTTTTTGTTGTTATGGTTGGTCTTGTTGCAGCTTCCAGGAATATTTTAAAACACTATAAATCAACTCTGAACTTGAAACAACGGCCAGATGCCACGATGGAGGATATGGAGAGCTCATACTTCTATGCAAGAGCTCTTCTATTGTACTTTATATGGATTAAGGGACATTTTACTGTTGTGAGCTAGTTTTCCACTCATCCTTATCCTAACTGTTATGATCCCGTGTCTTACTATTTTAATCGGTAACACGTCAATAACTCTGTACCAACAGACCAAGCTTTAGTTGTGGATGTTTATTTTCCAACAGTGTTTCTAATTTCAAAAAAATGCACATCATAAAGAAAGGGTATTTTCATTTGTGAGTGAAAATTTGCTCTAAAAGAAAAAAAAAAAACATTGCTCAATTCTCATCTATCACCAACTTGTGGTCAGGGTCCGCACAAAATCATGACAGACCCTGCAAATGATGGAAGACCTGAACTTTAAACGCCATTGGTATAGAGCGCTTAAGAGCAAATAACTTCTGGTATGGATTCATTTTTTAAGGGTTTCTGTTTTTTTTGGGTGTTTCACACACAGAAATGGAATCACCCTATATTAATTGCAGTTTTCTGGCCGATCACGATTACCAATCTTTAAAAAAGCCCAACCTACAGATTCTGAACAAAAGAGGACAGCGGTTGATTTTCAGACCTGTGCTGAGGTAGATAAGACCTGCTGATAAAATCAGCTTCACTTATTTGTATGCATGTGCTCGTGTGTGTTTCAGGCGTGCAGATGTACGTGTGCAACAGGGAACACTACGGCTTCCTGCCCGTCCCGCTCAAAGCTCAACAAAATGTGCAGGACGAAACTGAGAGTTTCATACACACCATCTCAGAAGCTCTGAGTGAGTTTCCACACTTAGAAACTCTTCACATGTTTACATTTTATCACTTCTCGACCCCTTCACCTCTCGGGGTCGTTTCTCCTCCCTCTTGACCTCAACGACCTTTGGCGATTGCACCGTGTCGGTTCATGTCGACCCCTCTCCACCCCTTTTGTTGCATGCTCATCCCCACCCGGTTCAGAAATTTGGTGATTTTCTAACATAGACTTTCTTGGTTTTTCCTCCCAGTTGAACACGACATGGAGCCGTCTCAGTACATCTACGCTCCGCCGTTACCGCCAGACCCAATGGGCTTCGATGATGTAAGCGATTAAATTAGATATTTAATCGCCAGTCGTTGCTTTTTCTTTGTCAAATCTTTATTTTTCACTGTGGAATGAGTTGTTTGTTTTTTTTTTTGGGGTGGATGTAAAACCGTTTTCCTGTGTCTCATTCCTTCCTTTTTTTTTTTTTTTTTTTTTTTTTGCAATGTTTAGATTTTCCTGATTAATTTGAAACGCCGTCTGGACAGAAGAACCAGGATGTTGAAAACAATGGGCGCCATGGGCCTTCGCCCCACTCTGATTGATGCGGTGGACGGGAAGTAGGTCACGAACGCAACACGAATCTGAATCGGAAAATCAAAGGACCATCTGATACTGACTGAAATATCTGTAAAAACTGAAGTCTCACCTGCTGCTTTCGTCTTTCATCTTGAGCTCGCTATATTTCCTGCCATTAAATCCATCCTTCCTCTCTAACTTTGCATTCGTTGCTTCCTGCTCGAGTTTTTCCCCTCTTCTTCTCTGCAAACTTTAATCCATTCTTATAAATATCCTAATCCTCCTTCCTCCCTTTTTTTTTTCTCTGACAATCTGGGTTGCAAACTGTTTGCAGTGTTTTAATGATGATCAATTAAGTTATTTTTAGTAATGTTGGATTTTTTTTATTTTTATTCTTCCTTATCATCCATGCTATTTTTCTTGCCTTTCTCTCAGAGCTCTAAATACATCCCAGCTGCAGGCATTGGGAATTGAGATGTTGCCAGGCTACAAGGATCCATATTCTGGTCGCGTCCTCACCAGAGGGGAGATTGGCTGCTTCCTGAGTCACCACTCTATATGGAAACAGGTGAGGGCAGGAGGATAAGGCTCTTATCTAAAAGAAAGGTGGATTTCTTTAAACACTCTGCTTGAACCAACCAACATTTGAGCCCTTTAGACGATACATATGATGTGCAACTGTGCTGAAATTTGCATAAATTATTATTTAATTATTAGCAGTGTTTCATACAACTCAAACTCTTCACATAAGCTGTAAAGATCGGTGGTGAATGAAATGGTGACGGTTTGTGGTAAAAAAAAAGGTCATTTCTTTCAATCTGTAAGGCAAGAAGAAGTCTGATGCAGGTTAGTGTCTGCAGACAAAGTTTCTTTGCACCAATGAAGTTATAAGGGAAGAAGACGTGAAAAAATGAAATTATTACATAACATTTTGTGCTGATGAATGTTAAAATCAGTCCTAAAAGTGTCCAGCATGACGGTGGACTGGTGACGATTGACCACAAAAAAAAAACAAAACAAAAAAAACAAGCAATTTCTTCTAACATATTCTATCTATTTAAAATTTTACCCAAAAAAGGATTACGCAAAATTAAGTGCTAACAGAATTTTAAGAAGGTTTTCTTTTTACATACATGTTCTGTTTAAAACGTAGCACAAAATGTCAGACAGTGCTGCGGGGTGGTAATTTGGGAAAACTGACATTGCCCCTTTATAAGCACCGAGCAAAAGAAGAAAACTGAGCAAAAAGTATTTTTCATGACCTTGATTTTGTCCTCTGGTCATCAGGTGGTTGATCGTGGCCTGCAGAAGGTTCTGGTTCTGGAGGACGATGTGAGGTTTGAACCCAGGTTCAAACGAAGGCTTCAGGCCATCATGGAGGACGTAGACAGAGCCCAGCTGGACTGGGACCTCATGTAAGAACTTCTCTGGGTCCACAAATTAGCGCCTCTGTGTGGATTAACCTTTCTAAAAGCTAAACATACTTCCTCATTCTACTTTCAGCTACGTGGGAAGGAAGCGAATGCAGGTGCAGCAGCCGGAGCATTCAGTGGAGGGTGTGAACAACCTGGTAGAAGCCGACTATTCCTACTGGACCCTGGCCTACGCTCTCTCACAGCAGGGAGCCCGCAAGTTGTTGGCGGTGCAGCCTTTCACCAAGATGCTCCCTGTCGACGAATTTCTTCCCATCATGTTCAACAAACACCCCAAGTCAGTGTTCACGTTGGTCTTCTCTGGTCTAAGATTAAAGCATAGACAGCACCTTGCAAAAGCGTGCAAACAATTCGACCTTTTTGTCCGATGGTGACCACAAACCTCAGCGTATTTATGTTTATTTGAGATTTTTAAGTGAGAGAGTGACACAAGGTGACGCGGAAGGAAAACGATCCATAGTTTTTAAAAATTTTCAAAATAAACATCTGAAAGATTTAAGTCAGTACTTGGTCAAGTTAAGCATACAACCAAAATTATAATGGTTAGATCATTATAAGTCTAGTTAGAATGGCTTAATCAAAGTCCAGAAAACTTTAAAATCAACATTCACAGACACTCTGACACAAACTAGTTTGGAAAAAGAATGTAAACTTGTCAAGGTGCAAAGCTGGTGTCCCAAAACTCTTGAAGGCTTAATTGCAGTGAAAATTGGTTCTGCAAGTGATTTTATTTGCAAACATTTAAAAACCATTCATCATCTTCCTTCCACTTCAGTTTTGCACCACTTTGTGGCGGCATATTGTGTGAATTTCCAATAAAATAGATAGAAATGTTGCAGCATGTAAAAATGCTCACGGCGTGAGAAGGTTTTGCCTTCATGTGACGGTGACTGAATGTAGAGCGATTTAAAAAGTGATTTAAAAACAAATGAAAATTTTCATCTAGAGTTGGAGCATAGAAAAAAAAACACAATGCTGAAGTTGGCAGTTCCTGAAAGCTCTGTACATTTCAGACACCGAACAGACCGACAATTTGTTAGCGCCTTCAATCCATCAGGTGGTTGTTGTGTAAAATAATAATAAAAAAACCCAAAACATTTAAACTCCAGGAACATGCATCAATCACGCTGCCTCTAAAAGAAGCAAACACAGAAACAGAGCCTTTATTGCTACAAAAAGCTATAAAGTATTGCAGAACTACTAATTGAACATCATTACAGTAATTATCTATACATAGAAAAAAAACAGACACACACAATCGAGTTGCTGGCCTCTGCGCGACTGTGTTACGCTGCGGACGGCGTGTAGCGTTTTAGTTTGTGGTAAACCACAGCCTCCTTCATGTTCGCCTCCTGCTAGTGGCTCTTTATACGTCTGTGCTTCTCCAGTTTTCCCTTTCTGTCCAGCACAGCTTTCCTGCTCTCCTCTCCTCTCCTCACACACACAGGGCACAGATTGTTCTGGGGGCTCGCCGTGCCTTACGGTGCCTCGAGCAGGACAAACAATGCCAACATTTTCTTCTCCCTTCGGATTCGGGTTTTCCACTGGTGCCCTGCGTTCCTCTTCCACTGCCCACCTTCCTCCACGGCCATCTCCACCTCTCTCTTGTGTCTTTCTCCACATTTCCTCCGTGTTGCTCTAGATCTTTAAAGTGGGGCTCCACTCCACTCCGCTCTGGTCGAAAGCGCACCTTCGCCGTCGCCGTGTCACCCACTTTTCCTGCCCCCCCCCTCCCTTTGAGGAATGTCGAGCAGCGTGGCTCTTCCTGCCGGCTGGTGCAGAGGGACAAGATTCCCATTGATAGAGCTCAGAGCCTGGGGGCTGGTTTGAGATGAACACTGTGCATGTGTGCGTGTTTCAGTGTGTGTCTCTGTGTGGCTCTTTCTCGACACACCGATGTGTGTGCTTATAAATTACTAAATAAAGAGTGTTTATTTATTTTCCAACGGTATAGAAAATAGGAAACTATAAGATCGAAAGACTATGAGGAGAATGTGTCACAAGCACGTTTCGGTTTATTCGTTTATTCATTTTTATTATTTTCACGTAGCTCACTTTTCATTCATAAATACAAAGGCTCAGAGGTGACACGAGTCAAAAGCCGTTTTGGTGTAAGAGGCTTGATTGTGTGGAGGATGTGTGTGACTGTGAGTGTGTTATTAGAGCTGAGCTACTCGGATCTTACAAAAGGTGAGGGTTGCCGTAGTGACGTATCACTTCTCAGTGCTCTCCTTTGGCTTCGGCTGCAACAAGAAGCAAACGTATAAAACATTTGTTGTAGGCCTTCTAATCTAAAAATGATTAGATTTAGATTTTTTTTATTGAACATCTAGTAGTCACAAAGTTTTATGAACAGTTTTGTCAGTATTGTTCAATTAGAATCAATCTTTGGTCTATTTTAAATGTTTTCTACTGAGATAAGATTTGTTTTTTTTACATACTATATTGATTTGCTAAAAAAAAAAAAACATGTAAAATCTTAAAATATGTCTTTGTTGTTTGTGCATAATCTGCAAAACAATAAGTACAGTGACTCCTGGCCCCATTCTTCTGCAAAAAGAAAGGAACATGAAGCAGGAACCCCGTCCTGTTAGTCTGTGACGGCGGAAGTGAAATTCTGGGTGAACTGAATGTTTAGGTCCTGATGAGTCGAGAGTTTTTCAAAACTGAGGAAGTGACCTTTTTGGACTTGTGGCTGATTTGTTGCAATCTGCCATACTAAAAGAACACGCTGAAGTTTGTGTTTTGTAATGTAAGAAATTGACACTATGAGAGGGAAAGAATACTATTGCAAATGGAGAACCCCAATAAAAATCTGAAAAAAACTGAAATAAGGAAAGAGTTTTGGGGAAAAGAAATATTAAACACCAAGAACTTCCAATCACATTAATAATAGATTGACACCATCCTCCATATTTTCTGTCTCTCTAATCCTCCTCAGCGTTCAGTACATGTCCCATTTCGAGCCACGGGACCTGAAGGCCTTCTCCGTGGAGCCGCTGCTGCTCTATCCCACCCACTACACCGGCGAGCCGGGCTACATCAGCGACACCGAGACCTCCACCATCTGGGACGACGAGGCCGTCGCCACAGACTGGGACCGGCAGCACGCCCGCAAGACGGCCCAGCAGGGCCGCATCCGGCCCGTGGCGCAGAACAGCGTCACCGGAGACTCGCCGCCTCCCGCTGCCCGAGCCTCGCGCGACGAGCTCTGATGGATTCGGACGAGAGACTCGGTGAACGTCCCACATGCGCGCGCTCGAAGAGGAAACCGGTGCTGGGATACTGTACAAAGGCGTTCATGCCAATTGAAAACAGGTGGATTGCGGCAGAAATCAGACGAGCCTCGTATCTGCCGCTCCGGGGGAAGGGACAAGGCCCGCAGATTCTGGGACGAAGGCCAGCACGACTTTCACAAAGAGCCTTATTCATTCTCCATGTGTCTCCTCGGTGAGTGTGGATTAAGTCCTGGCCTGAATGACTTTACACATGGAAGTCAGCTGACAGCATTTACATGATGTGAAAAGAAAGGAAATCAATCTTTTGTGAATTCATTTTTGTTTCAAAAGGATTGTTACTTTTTATTTAAGCGGAACAGATGTGCATCTAAGAGACTGCTGCGGAAAAAAGAAACCTAAAGCTGACCAAAAACTTTTTTTTTTTGTCACAAAGCTGTGCATCAACAAATCTACTGTATTTATACTTAGGTTTTGCTCGCTGGTTCGTATTTGTAATTCTTACAGAACTGAGTGTGGGTGGGAGGACGGAGGCTGACGTTTTGTACCCCAGAGTCATTTTTCAGATGATGTCATGCAAACAGGAAAAAAAAAAAATAAAGTATAAAAATATGCAGCGGTTCCTTGCCAAGCAGCAGGGCAGCAACAGATGCTTTTCATGGTCTAAAGTTTTTTTGTTGCAGGAGGAAGAGGATCTTTCATAGCAGGCTGGTCCTGCTTGGTTAATATTTCAGGGCATCGTTTTGTTGCCACGGAAACAAACAAAGTTTTAATCAGTTCTGTTGATCTTACAAAAACATACGAGTTTGTTTTTCTCTCTAAAAAAAAGACTTTGGATTCTTCTCTTGAACACGGGCTCTTCTTTGTTGAGTTGCGCTGCAGAGTTGGAGCAATAAAAATGGCTTCTTCACTTCTCCTTTATCTGCCTCCGCAGACTAAGCGGGCAGATGTTATCTGTCTTTTTACACTCTTTCGGGTTGTTGTTGTTGTACAGACATGGCGGTAGTGTTTGGAGACAGTAAAAAAAGAAAAAACCCTCCCTCAGCCAGATTAAAACTCTTGAGACAAATCACTTGTTCTTCTCTGCTGGGCTAAAATAGTCATTAACTTTGTGTATATTATTGTTTAAAGGGTTTAGAACAAGCATAACTTTCCTCTGAATGTTCCCATGACCTCCTGGGAATCTCCTGTAATGAAGATAATGGGATTACACAGATGGTGGTGAAACACAATAAAAGCTTAGGCCTCCCTGTTAATTTAAGGTTTTGAGCGTGGATCGTGTAGGGAACAATCCGTCTTTGTGGCCTGCTGCCTCCTGGTGTTAGACCAGTTCTGTGAAATATGTCTCACAGTTTTATGCATTTGCAGTTTCCTGCAGAGGTTCTCGCACACGTTCGGCGTTTTGCTGGGATTTTATGTCTTAGACCAAGAAACTAGATTCACAACTTTCATTTTTAACTGTTCACAAATAAAAGAAACTCCCAAAAATGGATACCGGTTAAACCGCTTGCTTTCAGAGGACACCCTGGCAAATGTGCAGAATTGGAAACATCTCAATGAGAACACAGCTGTTCTGCAGAAGCGTTTAAGGATTTACAGAGAATGTTGTTGAACACACAGCTTCATGGAGATCAAGGAGCACATCAGAGAGATTTTGAAAAAAAAAAGTTCTGCAGAAGTTTCAATGAGCCAGTTTGTGACAGTCGGATCTAATTACACTTAAAACACGATCTGTGTCAAAAACTAACACCGCTCACCATCCTGAACATATTGGCCCCACTGTGGAGCATAGTTGTGGCAGCGTCATGCTGTGGGCATGTCTTTCTTCTAAAAGTCCAGAAAGAAATTCAGAATTTGACAAAAGTTCACCTTCCAGCCAGATAGTGAACCTATTTGCATAATAAACATGTTCAAATTGTTTTTATCAAAGTGATTCAGGGAGGCTGAAGTTAAAATGCTCTGATTAATATTTAGGTTAAAATGTCAAATTTAAGTTTCTTTCTGTGTGTAAGCTTTGAAAACAAAAACACTTTGACGTTTGCAGCTGAATTATTTTAAAATGCAAAAAAGAAAAAGAAAAAAGCTTAGGGGTGTGAATACTTTTGTAGCAATCTGTATACTTGGTGCAGAATAAGGGAGAAAAGTGAATGGCTAATTTGATTTATTGATTGCTTTCAGCTGGGTTGGAATACAAAGTAAAAGAAAAAAAACATTTGGTTATGTTTAGACAAATAATCTGTGTTGAAAATACTGAGTCAAAATATATTAACTATCCTTCTATTTGTACTGCTGTGTTGCCATAAAGTACATTTTTGTCGCTGTTAAGAATTATTTGTAGGTTTCTTCCTTTCAACGCTGGATTTGAATAAACTTTTTTGTCCTATGCTGCCATCTGTTGGGCAAAGACTGAACTTATAGATTTTTAAAGTGGGTTTCAGTCAGTGTGTTATGCATGTTACTAGATGTTATTTAGCATTGACTAACAAGATTTACAAGGTAAACATCAGTTCTACTTTATATGCAGCTTTGTTTAATTTACTTCCATCCATAACTATATGCGATTCTTCCAATTCAATGCTTCTGTGACCTGATTACAGATGAGCAGCAATAACTCTGAGGTTGTGTGGTGATAAGTAGGAAAAATGACCAGAGTTTGCAGAATATATAGGAGTAATAAGTCTGTAAATATTCAGCATACCTAAGTTTTACATTCATATCTAACGTCTTGTTGATGATCAACTCATGATTTGTACTTCACTTGTAGAAACTCTCCCTCCTCAGCTCAAGTGTTTCGTTTCACAAAAAAAAAAGTCGCTTGAGCAATAGTTTGGGATTTAACATTATAGCTGATAATACAAACACTAGCCCTTACTTTTATTCATAATCATACATCTCTACCAGTTCTTGTTTCGAAGCTGGTTAATGACATCTGGTGTTTTCCAGGGGAAGAAGAAGAAGAAGAAACTGGGGTTAAGTTTTTAATTAGTTAAAGTTTTTTATGTTCCAGCAGGCAGCAATAAAGTTTATGTTACTCTGAAAGATCATAAAATAATTCTGCTGGAGGTTTGCAAAGGTTCACTGTAGTTAAAGATTAAATGATCCTCTTATGCATCTTAAGCCATCAGTGATGCTTTGGCAGCAGACGAGTGTCACAAACCTGAACTCCTGTGATGCATTCAGGAACCAGCTCTGGACTACGTTTCTCCATTATCAGTGATGAACACATTGGGAGCAAAATTGTGTTAGCAGACATTTTATTTTCTGTCTTCAGAATTAAATTGTGGAATAATGAAAGTATGGATGTAAGAGTGTGCCTTTAATTCTGTTTCTTAAATAAGAAAACAATATTTACTAGTGTAAATAACTTCATATTGTTATTATACCTTTTTTTGTTTTTAATATTTTTTCCCCTTTTGTGTTTCTTATGTGTATAAGAAAGTAAAAGAAAGTAATATGTATTAGGGGATGTTATATATTGTAATGATTTACAAACGGTAGTTTAGTTTAGTTTAGTTTGATTTGATGTGATAATCTCGTCACAGAATCGGCTGTCTAATCACATTAATGTTACAAACTGAGTGTCTTGATGGTTGTTTTTCTAAATTCATGTTTTTAACACAGAGACTGAAGTAACAAAATGACTTGTTAGTCCAAGGTTCACTGAACTGATGTTTAAAGATCAATATGTTTTATTAGAATAAGAAGTTGTAATGGAGCAACACTTTACTGTTTTAAATTTATTGACTGGTTCCACTGATATCTGAACAAAACTGTGTTTGTTTCACTGTGCTTTATTGATTTCATTTATTTTTTTTAATTTTGTGAATTTGTTTGGATTTTTAGTTTTTGTTTTAGTTTTTTTTTTGGCTATCTTACCATAAGTATGTATGTACACCGTACGTTAAAGTGTATGTTAAGTTGATATTTGTCAAAGGCTAGTCCCATTTAGTTCCAGGTAGATGTCTTGACCTTTGGACAGGCAGGAAGCTTAAAGACTGACAGTTAGTCAGTAATAATGTGATTGAAAAAAAATAATAATAACAACCAACTTCACCATTGCTCTTGAAGCTGCTGAGCTTAATAACGACTTCAAGTTGCACAGTGTTAAGTAAATGTGTCAAAGTAGGTGAAGTTGCTATTTTTGTTCCTGGACAGACGCTTCATAAATGTTACATTCTTTGGCTGTTAGGATTTTGGTTTTCATTCGTGTTTGTGCTTTGACTATTCCCTTGTCCATTTATTTACACTGCCAGTGTCCCTCATTGATTAGCTCATCTGGTTCCTTCTTCCTTCCTCCTTCCATCCTTTGACGTGCCTTTCTCCAGCACTAATCGGAGAGACTGAGAGTACACCCTGGACAAGCCACCAGTCCATCACAGGGCAACACAGAGACGCACAGAACAGGCGTGCACACCCGCTAACTCCTAAGGAAAATTTAGAGAGACCAATTTTCCAAACAGTCGTGTTTTTGGACTGTAGGTGTACCTAGAGAGAGCCAAGAGATGCACAGAGAAAACATGCAAATACCATACAGAAAGGCCAGAATTCACACCCAGAGCCTTCTTGCTGCGGGCAACAACACCACAAACGTCACTGTCGACAAAAAAGTAAGCTGCGAATTAATAACTTACAATTCCCAAAGACTCTGATCAGCTCAAAAAGCAAAGTGAGAAAATTCTCCTATTATATTTATGCTACAAGAATTGTCAGGCATGCCAACAAAAGTTAAAAACAGAAAATGTTTTTACCCACTGAATAAAGTAAGACTCGGGGTTTTTCTACGTTTCTCAATGTTACTGCAAAAAGAGATTAAAATTTCTTTCAAGGCTTTTTAGACATCTTTTCAAGAATGCCCTTAAACATGGCCTGGAGTGACCTAACCATGCAAATATGCATAAGTTTGAAAAAACAAAACATTAGGGAACAAAAGGAGAAGGAAATTATGGAAGAAACATGTTTCCCCAGCTTCCACCTTTCCCCTTGTTTTCACTTCTCAATCAGCAGACAAGAGAAAGTGTTTGTTCTCTCTATCTGTGTCCTCTTCCTTCTGCTGATGAGTAACTCGTCAGTGTCAACAGGATCTTCTCAGACATGTGTGTGTGTGCTAAGCACACACGCACACACACACACACACACACACACACACACACACACACACACACACACACACACACACACACACACACACACACACACACACACACACAGTCCTGCAACAATAGTTAGATCTCAACAGTTTTAAGTGAATATCGAAAATGTTATAAATGTTGGTCGCTCAGAGAAATAAACATGTTACTCTGATGTTGGCCACCAGAGAGCAGTAACGAGTTGATGGTACTGCTTGGGAAGCACGTTTCATTACGTAAAATGTTTTCTTTTTATAACCTTAGACATAACCCAGTTATGTATTGCCACCTTGTCTCAGTCTCACCTGCTGTCATGTGCTTTCAGTGGTGTAAAGTGATTAAATACATACTTCTCCCTTTTTACACAAGCAGGACTTTAACACACTGAGCTTGCGATTTGATTTCCAAAATGCTGCTTTCTAGAACTGCCTGATGAAATGTGAAGAAAAATCTTAGATTTTATTTCTCCAGACACCTTTAGTAGTTTCATCAGGTTTTTGTGTATTTACAATCAGTTTCTGTAATATTGCCATAAAATCAAGGACAACACAACAATTAGTTGACAATAGTTAAGTGGATGAAAGGTTTCAAACATTTTCAGACAAAAAAATAAAAATAAAAATAAATAAACAAAAAAGTGTTGTGCACATGTATTTAGTTTCCCTTCAGTCTTCAGATCCGTTCAACTGGATTCAAGCCTGGACAAAGAGATCAATATCGACCTAAATACCTTCTTCCACCTGTCATGTAGTGAACTGAAAATCCATCAGAGAAATTAAGTTTCATTTACAGTTTTCTTTTTACCCTTCCGTGAAAGCAAAATGTGTGAATTATAAAACTAACAGATCTCATGTCAACAACTTCCTTCACTTAAACGGTGGATCCCTGCACCTTCTCTAGAGCAACCACCGGCTTCCCCGATTAATTATCTAAAACTCCTTTAAGAAGTTTTAGTGGACAGCACTAAAACTTCTTAAAGGAAATTTTAGTGCTGTCCACTAAAACTTCCTTTAAGTTTTAGTGGAAAACTTAAAGGAAGTTTAAGTTTTCCACTAAAAACTTTAGTTTAACATCTCCACTAAAACTTTTTTCCATTTTTAGTGTTAAAAATTCTGATCCACCTTTAAACTTTTCCACAACTTCTTCCCTGAGCTGTATGGTGTGTCCGTCTTTATGATGCTGTTTAGTCTCTAATATTCTCCAATTTACCTCTCAGACCTTTTAAAACAAACAAAAACAACAATAGAGATTAAATTACACACAGTTTCTCTTTACTAACACTGAAGCCCGCGTTTTACTCTGAATTTGATTCAGTACCAAAAAGTCTGAATACTTTTTATTTGTAAAAACAAACAACAACAACAAAACAATTAGGTGCAACTTTGTGTTTGTGTCTTACATAAAATACCAATAAAATATATTTGAATGTGTTACATATTGTAAAATAATCTCTATTGTCTTTATAACCTCAATTATTATTTTTTTTTAATTTGAGAGAGAAAATAGGAGAAAGAGTCTAAATTTCTGCTTGTGATCCAGGCTGTGAAGAACTTCGGTGCATAATGTGTGTAAGAGAGCTTTGGCTTCCCTGCTGTGCAAACTGATGCTGGCCACACTGAAACCGTCAGCATCTCACACGTCAATAGAGGGAAGGAAGACGAACCCAGATGCCTGGAGAGGTGTAAGAATGGAGATCTGAAATCTAAGACTTAACAAGAAAGTCAAGAATTTTCTAATCTTGCTTCCTCTCGTTTTGTAACTACGCTTTAGTAAATCCTATCTGCCATTTGAGTTCAGATCACCAAACGGGACAATACAAAGTCAAGACTTTGGAAAATGAAGCTCTCTGCAATGCCGTGGAAACTGCAGAAGAAAAGTCAGTGGGAGCTTCGCTGGAAGTCAGACAGCAAGTTGACAGGACAGCATGTTTACTCATCCTTCCCGCTCGTCATGTTCTCTTTCCCTTCCAGCTCTCACACAGATTCACGACAGAAAGACTCACTCACTTCCTTCGCTTGCTTCAGCTGAGCCTGATTTATCCGGTTTGATTAGAGAGGCCTTTAATGCTGTATATTTAGTTTTTTTTTCTTTCTTTCTCAATCTCAAACCATGAATCACGGCTAAATAAAAACATAGCTTAGCTTGAGTCTCATTAAATTTATGAGTAACATGTATACAGAGGAATTTTGCCAGGCTGAGTCACACAGATGTTGAGTCACAACTAGACCCAGTTCAAGTCCCAGTGAGGCTACCTGGTGCCACGGCAG